CACTCGTACATGGCTGCCAGTCACAGTGCTGTAAGCATTGCAACTATGCTGGACGAAATCTGCCGTGACTGGGAGATACCCAATGAATGTGCGAAGTTCTTCGAAGCGGATAACGGACGCAACATCCGCGCTGTGGTAAGGAGACTTCCGTGGACTGAAAGAACGTGCTTCGCGCATACGCTTTAACTGGCGATTAATGACTCGAGATCCAGTTCGACGGCCAATGACCGCCAGTGCAAGAAAGTGAGGCGTGTTGTGGGACATTACAAGCACAATTCATCAGCTCAGAAAAGGCTTGAGGAGTGCCAAGATAAGATGGGAAAGGACACACTACGTCCGGTGAAAAACGTGGAGACGAGATGGAATAGCCAGTATCTGATGTTGTCTCGCCTTCTGGAACTCAAAGAAGCAGTTATTGTGGAGTTTGTTACCTCGGACTTTGACATCGATGGATTTGGTGCATCAGAGTGGAAAAAATGCTTCTGAATATGTAGAAGCATTGAAGCCACTGTTTGATTCCACTGCTATTGCCAGTGCTGAGAAGTACTGCGAATGACACATTTTTAGCGGGGACCTAATTTTCGCGAATTTCGCGAATCGCCTACAATTCGCGAAAAATACGTGCCGCGAACAATTCGGGCAATATGTGAACGCTACGGAAGCTACACTCGATTCGCGAAAATTAGAACCCGCCAATAATTTCAAATTTTCAGCTATGGCCCGATTCGCGAAAATTTGAGCCCGCGAAAATTAAGTCTTTACAGTATTTCTTCTTTGTCCTCCCAAGTTCCTGTGATTTTTGGTGTGCTCCACCGTCTAGGTCAGTCGTTCTCAAATGGGGCTCCGCGGACCCTCTGAGGTCGGCGAAGGCATTCTAGGGGTCCGCGAAGCCCTGCCTCATCTCTCAACACGGCAGTAAAAGTCGTCTTTTTTCAGGTCGAAAAGAAATGTTTCAGTTTTCGGGTGAGTTTTTTTTCGTGTGCATGTCAATAACAGAGGTCTACTTCACACAGCCCTTAGTTATATTCATTTATTAAATAATAATTATTATATTTAACCTATACATTTCCCCTCCCCCCACCACGAACGGGATCCTCCATCATCTCCACCGATCCACAAGGGGTCCGCGAAACATCGATCTTTGAGAACCACTGGTCTAGGTAACTTTTCTGGGGCATCAGAATTTTCCGCAGAACTGATACGATCCCTCAAGGCAAGGTTCGCTCTCTATAAGGAGGACAAGGAAGCATGCCTTGCTATGTTCTTGGACCCACGCTTCAAGTCCACTAGTTTTAAAGCTGAAAAGGAAAAATTATTATGGCTAAAAGCTATGGTGCTACAAGAACTAGCCTCATGTGATGCTACTGAAGAAACCCAGCCGGAAGCTGTAACCATACCTCGGCAAAACTCACTCATGAGGGCCATCACTCACCCTCACTCACCCTCATCTTCACAGGTGAGGTGAGGATGAGTGAGTTTCTGAATCAGGAAAATTCATGAGTATGAGGTTGAGTGAGGGCCGTGTGGGCTGTGAGGGCTGTGAGGACCGTGGGTGCGTGAGGGCCGTGAGGGGCGGGAGGGCGGTGAGTGGCGTGAGGGCCATGAGTGGTGTGATGGGTATGAGGGCCGTGAGGGTGGTGGGTGCATGAGAGGTGTGAGGGCCGTGAGGGCAGTGAGTGTGTGAGTGGCGTGAGGGGCGTGAGGGCGGTGAGTGCGTGATGCCCCCTTCATACGGAGCAACTTTCTCTGCAATTTTGGTGTTGCTGGTGAGTTGTTGCCTAGCTTCCGTAGATCACCGTGCCCCAAATCGACACGAATTGCTGAGATCGTTTCCAGCCCGAAACAAGCGAGCAACTCGGAGCAATTCGAAGACGTTTAAAGCGGCTGCATCCAATCAGGGACGCGATATTTTCACGTGATACCTCGTGCCGGTGATGATGACAACAAAGGACTTGGTTCTGGTTTGAACTTGATCGTTTTTGGAAATAAACTGTTTCAGAAAGATGCATTAGTATTCTCAACGAGATTTAAATGCATAAAAACACGTTTATAACGCGTAATTGTGTGTCTAAATAGTGCAAGAAAAATAAAGTTTCATGATGATGACGGCAAATTTTAGCTATTGGTTGCTGCGTGTGAATGCGGGCGGCCCGTGTTGCTGCTGTTGCGACTTCAAGTTTCTGGTCGAAATTGCTCGATCTGAAGCGGGCCTGAGTGGCGTGAGGGCCATGAGTGGCGTGAGGGGTGTGAGGGGCGTGAGGGGTATGAGTGCGTGAGGGCCGTGAGAGCGGTGAGTGCGTGAGAGGCGTGAGGGCTATGAGAGCGTGAGGGCCGTGAGGGCGGTGAGTGCGTGAGGGGTGTGAGGGCCATGAGTGAATGAGGGGCGTGAGGGCGGTGAGTGGCGTGAGGGCGGTGAGTGCGTGAGGGCGGTGAGTGCTTGAGGGCGGTGAGTGCGTGAGGGGTGTGAGCGGTATGAGTGCGTGAGGGCCGTGAGGGTGGTGAGTGCGTGAGGGGTGTAAGGGCTATGAGTGCGTGAGGGCCGTGAGGGCGGTGAGTGCGTGAGGGGTGTGAGGGCCATGAGTGCGTGAGGGGCGTGAGGGCGGTGAGTGGCGTGAGGGCCATGAGTGCGTGGGGGGTGTGAGGGGTATGAGTGCGTGAGGGCGGTGAGGGCCGTGAGGGCCATGAGTGCGTGAGGGGCGTGAGGGCCGTGAGGTTCAGTGAGGGTGAGTGAAGGGCTGAAGGTGAGTGTGACTTTGAGCATGGGGGTGAGTGAGGGACTGAAGGTGAGTGTAGCTGTGAGGGTGAGGGTGAGTGATGGGCTTAGGTGAGCGTGGCTGTGAGGGTGAGGGTGAGCGAGGGCGACCTAAAATGCCGACCTCTGGCTGCAACACAATCAAAAGAGCGAGACTCAACGCCGCCAGAAAAGCTTGGCAAGAATTTGACCACTTAGCCAAAAGTGCAATGGAAAGCAAAGTGGTTTAGCTTCAAGATGGGAAGTTGTAGCGTATGCGGAGGAGGCACTGCTAAAGAGAGAGTGTGATCCGTGTGAGTGGTGGCGAACTGTCGGGTGCTTAAGATATCCGAGTCTGGCGAAGCTTTGCTTCAGATACCTGGCAATATCTGCTACTTCAATGCCGAGTGAGTTTTCCCTGTGGCTCGAGGTATAGTTTCCGCTCGAAGGGAGCGCATCCTACCTGACCTTGCGCAGCAGTTGATTTTTCTGCATGACAACTTGTGATCTTCCCTACAACTAGAATTTTCGTTTTAGTGTTTTCATTCTCGTTAACACCAGTGCCTCACTAGTGCTAACGAGAATAAAAACGCAGAAACGACAATTCTTGTTGTATGAAGGTCCTAAGTTGTCATGCAGAAAAATAACCTGCAGTTCTGCAGTTCAAAAATAAAAAAAACTCAGAAATTAAGAGAAAAATCAAATGCAGTTCTGAGATGTGAAAATAAAAATGCTGTGAAGAAATGCACCTGCCTTCGACTATTCGATAATCGATTCGATATTCGAACCTAACTATTCGTATTCGATTCGTATTTGGAAATATTAATATTCGCACACCCCTAGAATATTCATATTCAGTATAGCATTTGAAAGGTATTGCGGCTTGGTCATTGATCCAGCTCCCGCGGTAGATTGTAGGGATCAACTTTCCATGTGCCCCACCTTCTATACACTCTAAAAAAAGTTTGTGCGTCTACTTTCACGCACAACCATCCAGGAGCCAATCACCGCAACTTACGGAGGCAGCTCAGCATATGACAATGCCGAAACATATGTTTAGACCAAAAAACGCAGTGCCAGTTGTGACATTAAGCAATGCAAAACGCCACGCTTGCACTGCTTAATGTCACAACTCAGACTGCGTTTTTTGGTCTGAACATATGTTTCGGCAATGCCATTCGCTGAGCTGCCTCCTTAAGTTGCGGTGATTAGCTCTCCGAGTGTTGTGCGGGAAAGCAGACGCGCGGGCTTTTTTTTTAGAGTGTAGTTCGTGTCAGCTTAAGTCTAGACGTTGGTAAAGAGACCATGCAAGTAGCGTCAAAAGCCCGCGTCAATAAGCCTTTCCTGTGTATGATTGGCTCAGCATCATAGTATGTGTACAAAAATTTAAAAAAAAAGGAAGGCGAACAACATGATGGTGCGTTTTTGACGCTGTCTGATTGTGGTTCGATCAGGCCGCGTATTGTCGACTGCTTCTGGAACTGGAGTGAAACGAATTACAACAATTCCAGCTCGTCTACGTTTCCCACAATAAACTGGATCTCCCTAAGCTCATCGTATATGCCTTTCAAGTCTATCGGGATTGTTAGCTTGGACATTTGCTAGATCCGCTCGCTGCGCGCAGTGATTGGATGCATCTTCAGCTTCGAAAGAAAATTAAGTCGGAGAAGATTTTTTAGAAGTGCACGCTTCGACCTGCAAACAGTTGTCGCGCTATGACGAAGTGATGGCATATACCCACAACCACAACGACAACGTATACAACGTTCAAACGACAACATGTTCGCCGCAGACACGATGACAAAACTGTCTGCGAACACGCCGGAAGCATATGTTGGAAGCCCGTTTGCTTCATACATATGTGTGCTCTTCATCTTCAACACACGTGTGCAGAAAGTGTTTGCGCGACCGATGCAGGACCGTCGTATACAGGGAACAAGAAGCACTACGCCTCGGACAGTGTCTCAGCAGACTGTCTCTTTTCACGATGCGTTAGCGGTGTGCGTAGCCGTCTTTAAGGCGGCTGTGTCAAACATCGTACAAAAGAGAGTCTCCATGAGGATCCGAACGCGAGTCACCGCGAGATCCGTGCAGCTTCGAATGCTGCGCGGCAATGAGTTCGAGGAGAAAGCTTGGCTCGGGGCATTCGAACCGCGGACATTGCGGTGGCTCGCGTTTGCCGACCGTCTTTTTGTACGATGTGCGAGCAGTGTGACCCGGCAACTTATAAAACATTGAGGGGGTGCTCGTTTTCGTCTCCCCGGTGCAGTTGCAAAAGAAGCGGCACATCGGGAACGACATCGTGTGCGTCGTTTTCCTGGAAGCAGAGAATACGCCCTTCTCCCCTGCCTGCATCAAGTCACATTTCCTGCACGCCTTCATCGTCGTGCGAGCGTCGCCTGCGGCGCCCTCCGGAACGCCCACCGTTTACGAGGTACGTATAATAGTGCAGCTGCACGCGGGGCCTCACGTCACCCCCGCCGTAACGTCGCGGAATATACATTTGTATCGATCGAGGACTCGGTCGTCACTCGGCGGAGGCACGACGCGGTTATCTCGTTAATTTCACCGCCTTAACAGAAATCGACTGACTCACGTGCAAAACGAGATTGACCCTTGCTATATAGAGAGCCGCCTAGGTAAGCCAAATAAGAGTCTTAGATTATCCGAAACTCTAGACTCCCCCATAATAATATCTCCTCGTACAGTCGCTCGCAGCTCGAGAAACGCAAGGTGGGGCGTGTTCCAGGCATCTCATTGTCGCCTCGCAACGAATCAGATTGCTGCATTTGCCGACAAGAAAGCCAAAAAACCAGTCCCGAAGCAAAAGGCGTGTACATCGCAACTCACGCCCTGGGCTCCTCAAATTGTGACTAACACTTTCTTCCCTATCAATTTCGTTCTTAAAAAAAAGAAAGCAAAAAACTCTTTGAGTTATTCAAAACAACTCTCGTATAAAAATAATATTAAAAAAAAAAAACTTCCAGACTTACGTACGTCTGCGCCTACGGTCGTGTGCGTACACTTTTTTCTTTCTTTTTTTTTTTTTGTCAAAACAAATGAATGAGACACTGTATAACTCCTTGACCGGGCGATAACGGCGCGGAGGACTTTCCATTGTCCTGCCTCTTCAACGCCGAGCTTTCTGCCTCCGAACAACACTTCTGCCTCTCGTGAGCTTGGAACGTGAACGCGAAGCCAACGCACGATGGAAGGCAACGCGTGAGAGTGTTGGGGGCTGAGCGCCCTGGAAGGCCTCTTGTCCTATTAGTTACTATGTATACTGGCCGTTCTACGATGGAGCGTCTGGCAGGTGCCAACCTTAAACCGCGATCACATTGCCAATACACCGTGCAAATGTTCGAAGCATACATATCCACAAAGCTTCGAAGATACGCGCGTTCTGGGCTGTGAAAGTCGCGCACTCGGCTGTGGATTTAAAAAGGTGTGTACAAACAGAAAAGTTGTCTAAAGGCATCAGGTAAGCCCGAGTCCCACCAGAGCGACATACAGAAACAAACGACAGCGATAAGTCTCAAATCAGAGTCTTTCTTGATTTGAAAGGCTTTGCAGAATAAGGGAGGCTATGCTCAGAAACGAGCATCATGTACGCGAAAGTATGTTCGACAAGCTTGGAATCAGTCGTGCATCGTTCACTAGCTCCGAACGACTTAACACCAACCAAAGGTATCATCGCGAGCATGCCGAATGTGTATGAGGCTTGTCGCTGTCGTTCGTTTCTGTTTGTCGCTCTAGTGGGACTCGATCGGGCAATAGCGTTCGTGCTGACGCGGTGGCACGCTCAATATTGCGACTGTTTACCTACCTGCCTCTGTTTACCGTCGCCCCAAGAGTACGTTTTCTTTTTGTTGTTGTTGTTTTTTTTGTTGTTTTTTTTCCGCGTTGGACTGCGCAGGTCGTTCCTGAATCTTTGTCGCTCAACGAACTACGATATACAAGCAGCACGCTATGGCTGGCGCTTTCCACCGGTGGCAAAGATCAGCTGTTGTCTCCCATGTAACGAACCGTGCCGGCTCGTTCGGAGGGCCGGCTCCTTCTGAAGAAATATTTCTAAGAGATTGAGGGAGAAACAAAGATATATCTGGACGAAAGAGAGTTTTTCTTCTGCAACGCCGTGTTCGTTTCACGAGCACGGTTGTCCTCGTTTTCTCCAGGCTGTGTAAACAGTGAGCCAGATATTTTGCGTTGGGACCAGGCTTCAAGAGTCTGTTCTCGGAATGTTTCGGCTACCGACGGCGCTCAGACGCTCAATATTCCCGTTGGGATTTCATCGCAGGTGTCTGTGGTGTCCCGGGACGAAGTGGGAGCCTACAAGCCTTACCTGTGGCACCGATCAGTCTTCCCAAAGGTAAGCGTGTAATGACATTCAATGGTTCGCGTGTTTGGGATGGTGTTGGCACAGCGGCGTAGCGACGGGCGGCGCCGTATGCCACCTAGAGCAGCACCCGGCACCCCCCCCCCCCCCCCCCCCCCCGCCCCGCTTCACTTAATTGGAATTGCGATCTCGGGTAGTGAATGGGAGAGGGGTTTTCCGCGGAGCATGCAGAACGCCAATCACCGCGATCGACAGCATGATTCCAGCTGTTTACAGGACAGAGATGACGTCTTCGTGCGAAGATACCATCTATGAAGACTGCATTTGTATGGAGAATTGTGTTTTCGGTGTGGTTATTCGCTAGGTTATTTTTGTGCAAAGAAATGATTGGCTGTATAAGTGTTCTGTGGGAAAGTAGCCGCAAGGGCCTTGTTCATAAATATTGTTCGCTAGCACTCGAGTAAGTACGGTAAGGGCCCAAGTGCTGGATGGCCTAGCCCAGTCACTGGGTTGGAATTCTCGAAAAAATAGTAAGTTGAATATTAGGGTACAAGACCTGAAAATGGCGTGAAAACACGCGCGCACACACAAACACACACACACACAAACACTATGTGGGAAAATAAATAATAAGAGGACAGACACTATCATGATGGTAAGACATGATACACCCCAGTCTTAAGTCTTAACATCATGGTAAACTTGCACAAGCTGGCCTACACTTTGACTGTCTTTCCTTTAAGCTAATCTGTCAGTTGGCTTCGCGGATTTATCTTACAAGCACAAGAAAAGTTGGTTGAGACATTTGCATTTGAGCGGGACCGACTGCGTTAAGGTTGGTTCACACACTTGGGTTGAGTCCGACGGAGTGCGACTGCAACGGCTTGCGACGTTAATTCTTTTACGGGTTGCGATGGCAACAGCTAGGTCGGCTTCAACAAAACGTGGTAAAAACCTGTTTTGTTGGAGCCGTAAAATGATTAACGTCGCAAGCCGTTGCAGTCGGTCGCACTCATCGTAAAGCGCCGTTCACATATATGCGCCGTTCACTCATATGCAACAACCGAGTAGGACCGAGAGAGACCAGACCGGTTTTTTAGCCTCTTGCGACGTCTTAGGCCCGGATGCGCTGCCACGGAGCTGGTTCTAAGAAGTCGTAAGAGCCTTCAAAAGCGGCCTGGTCTCACTCGGTCGCAAGAGTGTGAACGGGCTTAAGGTGTGTGAATCGCCCTTCACGGCTCCTTTGCCTTCCATTACGACGTGTTTCGAGGGCCTCGGTTTCCATAGCAATCATATCGCCGTAATCAGTCATAAATCGGTCATACTCAAGTAATTTAATTTTGACTAGGTTATAGACTACGGGCGGAGCGAAGGGGAAAGGGAAGGCTTACGTTTAGATAAAATTCAGGGCTTGTAATGTCTGGTTTTCATAATACCTGGTGGCCGTGTTTTCACGTAATCTCCCGCAACGCAGTCTAACCTAATAAAACACTAGTGTGCGAATTGTTATTTTTCTACAATTGAATCAGATGAGTCAACTAACACGGTAAAGGTTTCAGAAAAACTACGATCCACCAACAGTAGTTTATATTATTTTCTAATTTCCCACTGCTCTTTTGGTTATACTTTTGGTATTGGCCATTATGTAAGAAGGAGGCGTTTGCACCAGAAAAAGGTGAGTAAAATTCCAGGATAAAATTGAAAAAAGGCAATAGAGTTATTTTTAGCTCTTACTGTCGTCCTTGCTTGTGGTTGAATCCCCATTTTAAAGGTTAATAAAGTGCAAGTTCCGATATCAAGAGGAGGTTCATAAAACACGGCCGCTGAACTGCAACCGGGTTAAGTTGTTTGTATATTGAACTGCAAGAAACTCAATTTCGCCAGAATAAACATCAAACTGGCGTGATAGTTGCTTTCAAAAATTTAGAATCCCGCGAGTGATGGACGCGTTTAATATTAAAAAAAAAGAGTGTTAAAGAAAGTTTGAACAGACAGCTTGTTTTCAGATTACATTAATCTATACTGTTGTTGCTTGCTGTTGCGTATTAACCTTCGAGGATGTTGAAAATCCTCTAACGGAGCTCACTCTTCACGCGCGTTAAAAAAAAACGAAAAAAGGTAGCAAACAAAGCACAAAATTTGACTGAGAAAGTTTGGCGGTGAAAGCACTCTGTTGCGGCCAATCCTTCAGGTATGTGTCAAAGAGTTCAGTTTTTAACGAGAAACCATGAGGATGTGGTAACTTTCGACTAGCAGTTTCGAAGGAAAAAAAGAATAGTGATATATGAGTGTTCTGAGCTATCGATAAGGCACTTTTTCGTGGTGTAACCCTCGGCAGTACAGGTGCTAGCTAAGAAGAATCGATGTTTGCGTGCGCGCGCTGTACGCTTCGATCCCCTTTTGGATAGTCCGCAAACAGTGCTTTCTCAATGTATAGCGCTGGAATTTACTACAGAGGTGAGGCTAGGCGGTGCATGCATAAAGTTAAAAATCCAATGAATAAACTTACTTCGTTAAAAAGAACACGCACACACACATACACTATATTGGGCATTTTACGGCGCCATTTCCTGGCCGACGCAGACGGTGTTCGTTGACTTGGAGACACTGCCGACAGACGGCGTGTGCATGAAAAAAATAACTTTAGCTAACTCGTCTGCTATCGAAACCCGAATGGGCGCGCCCTGTGCGCTTTCAGTGCATACACCATCTCTCGGCAAACACCGGCGGCGTCAACGTCTTTGTCTATATATATATATATATATATATATTCAGGTAAAGTAGATTGTTTGGCTAGTTGGTTTTAGAACTTGGAATACATTTTAGCGCTCAAAACAGACGGACATGAAGACGAGAATCAGACACCAGAGTGCGCTTGTGGTGTCTGATTCTCTTCTTTGTGTCCTTGTATGCTGAGCCCAAAAATGTATTCTAAGTATATACGGTTATAGTTTAACTTTATGCGTGCAGCACCTAGCCACACCTCTTTAGTAAATCCCAGCGCGATACGTTAAGAAACCGCGTTTTGCGGACCGTCCAAAGTGGGGTCGAAGCGTTAGTGTACAGGCTGTAAATGAGACACCGTGCAATTTATAATCTAAACGTGAAAATGGGCTTCCCGCTGGCTCCCCAGCAAGATATAACACGTTTCAAAATGTATCTAAAAATTAAATGTCTTGCATTCCGTGTTCACTATCTCAGTACTGTATATTGAAATGATTCGTAAGGGCTTATAAAATGTAATGCGTGACCGATATCGTTCTTTGATGCTAAACTTTCCCGCAGTTGATCGACGTTTTTATTTTATTTTTTTTTTTCTCTTTTTTTGTGTCCATTGAGAATGAAGAAAAATGAGGAGACGGAGAAGGTCCTTGCCGCCAGACGGCGCTCGCGGCCGGCCATGGAGTAAAGCGCTGGATATATTTTATTAAGTTTCAAATTACCGCCAAGATTTTTTCATGCTGGGACGAAGTGCGTCGCGGCGGCGCGGCGCCGGCATCTACTGTGGCCCAAAAGGATCGTGCACACAAATGGCGGAGTGTCTCCGGCAGCCACCGGAGACCGTAGGATTGTGTGCACAGTGCACGTCTGGTTGTGGGATACGCCATTAGCCAGAAATGGCGACGCGTGGCTGGCATCCGATAGGAGCGCCAGCGGGACGATCAAAAGATGGCGGTACTTGGATAAGTCAGGATATCCAGCGCTTTAGCCATGGAGGTTACACTGGCGCTGAGCGCCTCCATCTTGCCTTCGGCATATGTAAATCGTCTGATAGTCAAGCTGCAAGGGCCACTGTAGTCAAGCCTTGCCAAGGCGTGCCCACGTTTGCAGGAAGAGAACCCAAACAAAACATTTTTTTGATCCACGGTGGCCAGACGTATTGCACTCTGAAGTTTGTTGCAATAAATTTATGCCAAGGACACCGGATTTCAAGCTTCCAACAGGAATTCGCTTAAGTGGCTCCGGGGTCGCCGTACGTACACGATATAATAATGAAATAGAACAACATGAATATTCAACTAAACAAATTCAGGGAACACTGTTTTTCAGTTAAGTGATGACTATCACTGAGGTAAAGACGAAGCTGTTAACCACAGTGAACAGGTTAGGAGCAAGGGATTTGAGCGCATAATTAGTACAGGGATGGGGAACGACCCGGAATTTTTTCCGTTGGATACTCATAACTCATTACTATAGATTCTCATTTAATCAAGTTTGAAAGATCGCGAAAAAAAATTCACTTCGTACATAAAGATAAATACAAACATAATAAATGGCATCTAGACACCGGCAAATTTCATGATATTGCGACTAAAAAGAATGGTTCGGCATGCGTTTCATGGGAAATATCTGCCATGAAACACAGTACTATTATAGAATCTTTAATTTGTTAAGATTAGTTTTATACCCGTGTTGCACGGACGCCCTTAAAGTGGCCATGAAATAATATCATGTTGAAAGGTTTATGATTTTGCAGAGGCGTTCTGGTCTCAGTCTGTCCCAAGTATAGACTCGCACGGAGCGCCACTGATTGAGAAGCTTCTCGGTCGCGGTGAAATTTTTAGGATAAAAGGGGACTTTTTTGTTTTTTCAGTCCTGCTTTCGCAAATCTTGATGACATAATTAGGGGGTCGAAACCACCCGTCTGACAACAAATCGGGCGCGGCTCATGGATTTAACACGAGAACTGCGCGAGCACTCAACTTCGACTCGTAACAAACAAACAATGCCTCTGTGAACACCCGACTAGTGGCTCGTGCCTAACCACTCCGGCGATGAGAATAATCGAACTCTTGCAAGACCTGGAGCTCAGCACGCTTTTCTACATTGTCGACCCAGCGCGTGGCTATGATTAACGTTGGCGTCGGCGGCATAGGATAGGCATCAGGCTGCAGCTTGTTTTGGCTCGGAGTTGAGGGGGACGATGAACGATGCTCATATTTCTCGAATTTATTTGCAGGCTGTCATTGCTTAGAAAGAAAAAGTAAGGCAAGTTCATTAGGTAACTAACGTTAGGGAGTGATGTTGCCTAGTATTTAGCGAAAGTCGAAGATTCTTTCATGGCCCCATTAAACGCAGTTAACTTTAACTGCTGTTACGCGTTACCACAGTTACCGCACTATCGGCGACGTGAGCGATCGAAAGCGTCGCTGCGATCGGTTTTCCACTAAGGCTTTACCTTCCACGGTTGGCCGAATGCTGACAAAGGATTTGTTATCGACGGAAATAACAGGAATGAAAGAACTTCAATGTTCACAGATTTGGCAGTGTTGCTTTCAGAGCGCAAAGATTTCAAGCTTCCACCGTGCTTATTACAAACACCATCTAACTCATTCTTCGCGAGGTAATGACATCAGGGGAGGGAACCAGGGCGCCAATAAATCATCTCGCCGCCAATAGACGATTGAGTGCGTGGCCGCCGTGTCTCTGCTCGTACGGGAAATCCCGTGCTATTAAAAGCTTGTCAAGGCTCTGTTCGCGCTCACGCCGCACGAACTTGCAGGCATGGGGCACCAGTCGAGGGATTATGCTTGCAATTTTCTACACTTCTGGACAGCTACTTCAGAAGAAGTGAAGAGTGCGTGTACTGTACTTTGCTTTGATGAGTGCTCAAGACGCTCCAGCGCATGCGCGCCCCTAGCTTTGACCGCGTTGCCACAAAACGTTGTCCGCAAGTATTGATTGGTAGCTGCGGCTTAGCGTAACTGCAGTTACGTGTGCCTGTGTAACGAGGGTATTAGTCGTGATACCTCAAAACAAATGGCAGTAGTTAATGCGTGAAACAAACAAAGCGTGATAAGTTCGAACCATAATATTTGTAGGCTGGAGCGTGGCTGCTTCCAAACTTTCTTTGAAGAACTCGCGGCACTTCGAAGCATTTTTAAAAGGAACTATTCTCGCATACTCCTCTTCTATATTCGCTTTTTGTTACGCACGGCTTGGCTCCATATAGGCGCGGCCTCAAAGTGCCTGTCAGGTGTTAATCCGCTTTGCACACGCGCTTAACAAAAAGTGCATCAACGCATAGGGAAAAAAAGAAAAAACACACACAAAGAAAAACGAAAAATAACGAATGGAAGCGGGTTTTGCGAGAACACGGAGCGAAAACGGCGCCCTCTATTGAAGGCGGTTCAACTGCAATACGTACCGGGAGGCTTTAAACATGTCCGACACCACCTGCTTGGCTAATTAGCCGAAATAACAAGGGCGTTTCGGGAATCCCAAAGGTGCCGCCGCTGCCTCCGCGCGGCACCGGCGGCCTAGAAAAGAAAAAAAGAAAAAAAAGAAAGGGTTCCTTTCAATAAACGGGGCAGGTCGGTGATGGTGCCACCATGAATTATGCATGTCAGCGTGCGGCGCGGAAGGCTCTCTGTTCGGCCGGTTATTTGGGGCCATGACCGGCGACCGGTACGAAACCGACGCCCGCGCTCGCGTCATATCGCATTTGCGAGCTCGAATCTATTATGAATGCAAGTTGGATTCGATATATGTAAAGGCTTGCCGGTGCAACTTTGCCGCGGGTTTGAAGCTTTGCGATCCGAATGAAAGGGGTGCCAAGAAAAACGATCGTGGCAAGTGCTAGATGAAAAGTAAGGAGAAAAAATAGGGAGAGAAATGGGAAACACTAGTAAAGAAAAAAAAATATTGCTGCACCAAGGTTGCATATTTTTCAACGAAACGCGCGGAAAAAGATGAACGAGCCATTTTTGTTTCTGTATTTGTTTAGTTCACCGTGTGAGTTATAGGGGTACACAACTCGTGCTTCGCTTGCACGTTTCGCATTTTGTTCTGTTTCGTTCGATAGAAAGACTTCTCAAACGTGTGCGTGCAGAGCTCGCTGTGGCTTCACTTTGACATTTTCTTTAAGCAGTACGCGGGTGACGCTTCGGTCACTGATGACTTTAGTCACTGACACTCTAAGGTGCGGTGAACAGGGCGACTCCAAAAATTCTTATTTTTGCCCCGCAGCCAATCAGAGGCGTAAACAAAATAGACCACGCCCCGCGCTTGTTCCACTGTCAGTGATTCTATAGATAGAGGGACCGACTTTTGAGTTACTTTGCAAGCAGAACACATCCACAATATGGCGCGAACACTTCGGCCTTTGCAAAAATGTCGGATCGAAACATTTGGATTTATTGAGAGACCCCGAACCTAAATAATAAATGGTTGGCCGATGGCTGTAGAAATACTCTGTTATATCGCGTCATCTGGCACCTCTAACGTATACTGTAAACGATTAAATGTTTTTGTTTCGTTTTTTTTTTTTTTTTTTTTTGCAATGATTTACTTTTTGCTATTTTTGGCCACTTCAATTATGGCGCGAAAACTTTATTACGCGAATATATCACGCCGTGCTAGCGAGTGCATAACGCATCACTCCAATCTCGAAATTTTGTGCGCGCGATGTATTCCCTAAATCCAAAATAATAATAATTGTGGTTGTGTGTATATTTATACAGCCTGCAGTTGGTCAGCCATTTCAAAAGTTGCGACGAGTGACTCGCTGTAGATGAGCAATTTAGCCAGTGCAGTACAACCGCTATCCTGGGGTCTTTACCGTGCACCACGCAGTAATGATACACGACCGCACGCCGGTACGATGCTCATCCAGATCAAAACGGGCAGGGGCGGGGATTGAACCCAGGATCCCGGGGTTCTGTAGCGCGAGCTTTCGCTCCGCGTGCTCCGAGCTGGTGTGCGCTAAGCCCACTCGGCCACCGATTCCCCTCCCTAAATCCACACTTGACAAAAGTAAAAAAAAAATATAAAACCCGCGAAAGAAAATGTTATTGACATTTTATTTAAAAACAATTCGCACCCGTTGCTTCATGTCGAGTTCTTCTTAAATTAAACTTTGGCCTCCGGCGTGCCGGAATTAGGCTCAGCTTCGGACGGATATTGCGAATTTTTCGTTGTCAGTCGATAGTGTCCTGACGTGTACGCAGTCTTCGCCGCCGCCTTCTGTCGGCGCGACGCCGTAATTTAATTTTGAAAGCCATTACGTAAAATTAATGGTGTCGCGTATCCTTTGGAATGCCTATTTGATACTGAAAAAGAACGTTATATTATTCTCGGATCTTTATTATTATGTTTTGTATCTCCCCGCATTCTTCACTTCGTTCAATATTATTTTTCCTTTAATCTATATTTTTTATATATATCTTTTTCTTTAATCTAACGCAATGCCATCTTTGCCCGACGCAATTACTTTTCGTTGCCGTCAGACTTTTTGTGCTTTGTTTTTCCGCGTTTGTTTCGAAGCATGTTCGTCCTCTGCCGCAATCCATGACCGTAAATTTCACATTACGTTTCCCCTTCCTTTTTTTTTTTCTTTAATTCGTATTGTTTTCATGAGTAGCTTATGACTCACGACTACTTTGGTTACTCTTTCAAAATTGTTACGGAGTTTTTTAGTTTTTTTTTTCTTTCTTTCTCTACTCTGGTCTTGCCTCGATCGTTCGAAGTCTCGCCACACTGATTCACTTTCTACTAGTTTACTTCTTTGCGGAACACCATACAACGAATCACGCCGAACAACGAAAGGATTTCGACAAGTAACGAAGTTGGGATCCGGTGTACGAGCAGACCGAAAAATTGGAAGCGACTTTTTTTTTGTCTCCAAAGCCTTAGATAATGCATGGCATGCAGTATTTAAGGAGCGGTCGTTTTAGTTTGTTTGGAAGACGATATACAGACTAGTGCATTATAGGTCACGTGGCATCAATATACGCAATAAAAGTATTGGTCATGAGACGGCAGGTTACGTGACGCAAATTCTTCCGCCAAATTTAGTGGGGAAACTGAATTGGTGTACAGGTCACGTGACAACAGCTTCTCCGCCAAATTTAGCGGGGAATATTGCATTGGTGTATTGGTTACGTGAGCAACTCATATGACACTAATTTATCCGCCAAATATAGCGGGGAAACTGAATTGGTGTACGGGTCACGTGTCGTCGATTTTTCCTCTAAATTTAGCGGGGAAACTGAATTTATGTATAGGTTTCGTGACGCCAGGTCCTGTGACATCGATTTCCCGCCAAATTTAGCGAGAAAATTGAATTAGTCTTGACGTCACGTTGCATCAATTTTCCGCCTAAATTTAGCTGGAGATGGACAGACGGATGGAAAAATATTTTGGGATTGCCGGTTCTGTTAAAAAGCATTTATTGATTGCTAAAATGCGTAGAGAAAATGAGCATGACGTTTTACTTTCTCATTAGCCCTGCACACATCGCTTTTTTGCAGGTGAATCGCAATATGAGCTGCAGTCTGGAACGCGTTAAAAAAAGTAACCTATTACAATTGAAAATAATTTATAGAAAATTGTAGCTGATTACAGTAATCAGTTACTGCATCAAAAAGTAATTGAAAAATTGCCAGAAAGTAATCGATTACTTTTCACGTTACTTGTTACACCAGTAGATGAGGTCCGTGCAGAACACAGTCGTCTATGCCGCGGTAAACCCGGATCGTAACAACCCGTACACAGGAAACAAGGCACTCTCGACAGCTCGACATTTAATTTAACGTTGGTGCAACGTAGACGAGTAACGCACAGGGAGACAGCAAAGTTTTGCGATCTTTTCGCGTAAAAGAACCTCAATAAATTTATCCTCTTCGGAAACATACATTTGATTACGGAAAATTAGAAATTGAATGTAAGCGAACGTTACCACAGAAGGAAAATGAAATTGAAGTATTAAAGAGTTGCGATAAAATGTTATTGATTACAAGTAATCAGTTGCTTGTAACTCGTTCCGTAGGAGTCTGATTATGATCTTTCTCATTCGCTTTTTCGGAGTGGTCTAAGGCTCATTCCTGTTCTCTTTTATGTGCATGTGGATAAAGAAATTCAATCGCAATTTATTCGTACTTGTTCCTTTTCCTACCAAGGGCACGCTGTTCCGCGAGTGGCTGCTCACCAAGATAGTCAACGGCGAGCGTACCAGCTACTCGGCTCCCAAGTTCGCAAGAATGCAGGTGAGTAGAATTATAGCCAACCTGTTATCGGGGACTGAGTAAATTGTTCGTTTTTCTGGCGGTAACTGAACGGCTTCGTTTGGAACCTAGATGTTTAACCTAGTCTCGACTTTGACCGTATACGTAAAATCAATGTTTGGTTTGTAATGTATAGGTTTTAGAGGGCCAACTCTTGGTGCTTTTGTGTCGGCGCTGATGATGTACAAGTGAGTTTTAGAAGACCGCAGGCTGCGGAAAGCAGGCTTAGTGGACGCGTGCTAAATTCATGCTTCAAAATAACAGCACGAGCTTCCGATCGTAACACAAAACTCTAGCGTAAGGTCCGCCAAAAAAGTCCCTAAAGTCTCGACGGAGAAGAGCATGCAATCGGCGGCAGCTCTTGGAGCGGGGACTTTCCACAGTGTGCGTGTGCGCTTTGCAGCAACGCGTTCTACACGTACTATGAAGGCTCTTGTTTACGGGCGCTGTTCAACATCGTGCGACCAAGAAAAAGACCACTTACGGAAAAACAGGAGCTGCATCGAAACTGCCGTCTTGACGAAGCAGCTCGTCGGCAGTGGGCGAGAGAAAACGAAGAACAGCGGTGACGACGGCTACAGCTGCTAGTCGAGCACTAACGTCATGGCGAGGTGAAGATCGAAGAGCCAAAGAATTGCGACACATGGAGCGACGACGCAACGGTTGGCGCAGCTAGGTGAAGAGGGAAGCGCGAGAGATGTGGCTGCACCTGTCATGTTGACACTACGGACGCATGCTGCGTTCTTTCTACGGACGCATGCTGCGATCTTTCGTAACACACGCAGACAACTTAAGCCCAACGAGCGGAACAAGTTCGTTTGGACCACGATTGCTCGCAGTCTGAACGAAATCGTTCTGCGTCTTGCGCTTATACGTTTGCGTGTGTTCTGAAAGGTCGGCATGTTGCGTTCGTGTAGTGTGAACGTATTATCTAGCCTCTGGCGCAGGGCTGGGCAGAGATACTCCAAAAAGTATTCGGGAATAAAATGCTGAGATACACGTATTTTAGGCCCAAAATACAAATACGGAGATACATTTTGTCTCTTATGTAACGGGATATCCCTGAGATACTTCTGCAAAACCAGCGAAAAAGTGTTCCGGAATACAGATACAGATACTTATAGATCTACATTAGTTCCTGAACAGTGTTAGGTGTGGAGGGTCCAGTTCGAGGGCGAGTATGAATAGTAATTGATGCTTGTGCTTCTTTTTTTGTGTAATTTTATGCTGTTTCCCTTACCTCAGTCTCTTTATTTATCATTAATGCCGCTAAAGAACACATGTCACCCCCGTTGAACAACATACTGTAGACGACTTCATTTTCGCGAGGACCCAATTTTCGCGAATTTCGCGAATCGCCCCTGATTCACGAAAAATAGGTCCCACGAATAATTCCGGTAAAATTTGAACACATTGGAATCTATATTGAGATCCCACAGCGTCGCCAAAATTAGAACCCGCAAATAATTCCAGAACTTCTGGTTTGACCTAAATCGCGAAATATTGAGCCCGCGAAAAGTAAGTTTTTACAGTAGTTGCAAAAAGGTAAAGACTGCTTACCACGCTTAAAGAAGACGTCTGTCCGAAATGAACCCGGTTTAGCCGTGAGGATGCGTCTCAAACTGTCGTATTATAAGCTTCCGAGTCACCCATTGTGTAGGGAGATTGTACAACATGACTTTGCTTTTTCTTCACTTAACTCCTTTAGGGTGTTCTCTGCAAAATTGGAAAGAGTGGAGGGCTTTGTGAGTGGACCTGATTTTGCTATTCTTGCCCGTAATCTTTTTTAAACCAGAGTTTTTTTCCTTTGTGTTTGTGATTCAGATTAGTTATGTTATAAGGCGGGTTCACATTATAAATTACAAAGCAACTTACACCAAACTGATGTTTTTATATTTCAAAATTTTCTTAAAAATGACAACAAACGTAACGAGATACCCAAGTATGGCAAAGTATCGCGATGCAAGCGATACATCTTAAATGTATTTCACTGCTGAGATACAAATACATTTTTTCGATTGTATCTCGATACAGAGATCCAGATACTCGAAAGTATCTGTAAAATACTATCGCGATACATTTGTATTGCGATACTGCCCAGCGCTGCTTTAGCGTCACCCTATCGGAGTGCGCGGTAAAAGAAGAAAATTTGAATGTTGGTTTCCTGCATAACGTTTATTTGTCGTTTCCTTAATAGCTATTTTTTTCCATTCAGTGGCAATGAGTAGCATGCCGGGAAGAATGACCCCTGGGAGTTCAAAAAACGAGCTTAGCTTGGGTAGCTCAAAAACCAATCGCTCACAAAAAGCGGCGCCTTCCTTTTGCACGATTGGCTTATTTGGTGATAGGAAACGTAGTGCAAATATGACGTCCGCCATGACGATGCACTTTTGAAGCCGCTCGAGTGACTCCAGCGGCTGCGGTCAGAATTAGAGCGAATCCAAACGAGATAGTCTTGTTATAAACTTCAGTGCTGTTACCATCCTATCTCCCAATGCCCGGCACGTGTCACCCGGCATCGTATTCAAGGGGAAATTGTGCAGCGACGGCTTTTGTTTGTACTATTCACCGACGTTTGTTTGCAAACAAGCTCGTTGCCGCCCGCTATTGGCAGACCCCTTAGCGCTTTCGGCTTTCTTCTTTTTCTATTTGTCCCAGATGCTTTTGTTATTTTACTACGTTCTACAAAGCGCGCAGGCTCTTAGTAACGTACTAAAGGTACTTCTCCAAAGGAAATTCTTCTTTCCCGATCGCTGTGTGTTGCTGAAGAATAAATAAATACACTACCGGAAGCATACTCAGGCACCAAATACTGTGGCGCCCTCGTGGTACCAACTCCCACCGAATGCGGTGAATAGGATGCTGCTAATAAGGACAAAACACAAAACCAGCAACATCACAGATACCGATAAGCGTGCGCGTTCATATTTCTCTCCTTATTTTTTTATGACTATTATAAGACCAAGGAAAACCGTTAGCACATTTTGCATGCAAGGTGTTTAATTTTTATTCGGGAGCTAGACGAGTTCTGCGGTCACCATGTATTTGTCAGGCTGGGCGGACATTGAATGAGGCTCTAATCGTAGCGGTAAGTTCACTAATTAAACAAAATTTCTTACTGAACTATTTACATTGTTTGTTTTAGGGGTTATGTTGGAATTGAGATATTGAAAGCAATCACTATTATATGCCAGACCAATCTTTCAAAATAATTAATGGCGATAATGTATTTGTTTTAGAGATATTAGTCGATCAATTTTCACGTTGTTTTGTTCGCCAGATTTTACAAATTAGCGCTCTAAAGAACGTCAGAAACACTGCCCACACTGCCGCTTGGAAGAGTGACATTGTCGTTTCAATCATGTCGTCACTATCGTTTCAGCGTGTCCTTCGTGGGTGCGCCTACGGACCACGTGACCTAAGCGACGTCACTCTTTCAAGCGTCATTGTGGGCAGGGTTTGATTGGTTGTGTGAGCTCTTTCTTTGCGAAATATTTAAATCGAGGGAAAAAAAACGTGAAAATAGATTGATTAATACACACGAAAAGCATATGTTCGCTAATTATTTGAATCGGTCTGACCTCTAATGGTAAATGTCTTCAATACTGCAATTTCAACATGACCCATAAAACCAATATTTAAATAGTTCATTGACAGATTTCAGTTAATGATTATTTAATGTCCGTCGAGCCTTATAAATATATGGTAAAGATGGCATTCGTCTAACTCTCACCTCCTTTTTGGAAAAATAAAATAAAATCTTTTCGGATTAAAATTAAATATCCTGCATTTTTCCTGCCCTTCCCACGTTCAGAATCATAGCTCAGTAGTCATTCATCTATTCGCAACAAAAAAACAAAAAGAAAAGAACGCCACCCAGCAAAAAAAAAAAAAAAGAATAAAAAAACATAAACACGAAAAAGGGAAGCGGAGAGCTATACCGTCTATTCATTGTTCTGCAAAAACTGGCGCGGCCTGGCGCCCATTTTTTGAAACATTTGGTATAGGTTGAGGCTTGTAAAATAATTGAAAAATAAACTGCCTCGATCGGGTACCTCCAGTAAATGCACAAGCGATTTAAAGCCAAATCGATATAAACGTATTGGATCCTGGGATCAAGTGGAAATTTCACCAAAAAGCCAATCGGGAACTGCAGCAAAAAAAAACTGGCCCTCGCCAAAAGAATGACCCAGGAAGGGCCGACAGGCAGAAAGGACCTCGCAGAGCCCAACACCAGCCCAACCCTACAAAGGGGCACGAAACGGCAACAGCAGTGGGTCGGCAACGCTCGAGGGCATCACTGTGCCGGACAACCACCACCGTAGTAATATTTGCTTTTCCCCTCCTCCCAAGGGCCAACATCAGCCTCCCTCCCTTGGTAGAGGGGAGCGATTTTTGAAACAGAGAAAAGGGACAATGAATGCGCGGCAAGGGACAGTTGGAGTTGACAGTAATTTACAGCGTCCCACAACAGTAAAAGACCCATTCGCCAAAGGCAGTTTTCGCGGGGCTGCTAGGGCACCTTCACCACAGGCAATTCATTTTAAGGCAGAGAATTTGACAAAAGTTTATTTCTTTCCTTACCGCAAGCGGTGCGGGTCTGACAAAGCGACTCCAGCACATCCCCATTAAACGGCCTCGTCAAATGGGCCCACCATATTGTTAGACCCTTTCATTTCAGCTCTTGAAAATGGTTACTCCGGGTGTGCGCAGGACCGTACCCGCAGCCAGATGCTGGAGGACATGGTGACGAACCTGCAGAACCACGCGGAGACGGGCCAGATCCCGAAGCCGTATCGTCGGGGCTCGTGGCGCCCCATCGGGCATATGCGGCCCTCGTCGCCGCTGCTGGATAGCGTGCGCGACCCCTTCGAAGGCTACGACCAGCTGGCCAGGGACTTCGCCAAGATGTTCCAGAGCACCAGGCAGCTCTGCGACGTCGTCTTTAACGTCGGTCAGGGTACGAGCGCACCTTTACGCTGCCTTTTACTCGGAACGTGTTTTAAGCGCTGGGGTCCCGGAAGAAAGCTTTTACTAAACGCCACGGAAACGGTTAGGAAATGCGTAACATGTTCTTCGGAGGGCAATATGTACAAATGAGTGCTACGTTAAGAAGAAGGAACGAAATTCTAAATGCGCCGCAATGAGAATCAAACCCACGACCCCATGATTTTGAGCTCGACGTTCTACTACAGCCCCATTTGGTGGGTAGACGCAAAGCTCTACCACGGCGGTTTCTACTACCTGTTTGAACGCGAACTCGGATCGCGGGACACCGGCCTTTGGCGTTACGGCGTTTGCGGTTAACACTCGGCATGCGCCGTTCGCACTCGAACAGTTTATGGGAAGAAACAAGAAATCCAAGACGTGCCTACTATCATATAAAAAGAGAAAAAAAAAGTTTAGGATCAAATAACATGCTGTAGAAACAAAAAAGAAATAGATGGAATGTCCATTCCGAACCCGGAAGAATGCCGCGGAAACACAGTTTGTGTATTTATACTGACTTCATCGGCAGAAATACACATTAGAGATCTGAATACACGCGACACGCGCAGCGCCATGCTTGTCGCTCCGTGTCCTTGCGCACATCGCACCTTGCAGGTCTAACCGCATTCTGAGCTTCACCATTGGTTGGGATTTTTTTATTGCTCGTCGTGACTGCCTTTCTTCGCTTTGTGCACCAAAAAATCACGTAGACTTTTTTTTTTTTTGTTTAAGATTGCTCGGTTGACAGGAGTATTTCTATCAACTATAGTAACTGACAGAATAAAAGCGGTCGAGTTCAAGCAGCCGCCCGTTGTCTTCCGTCCTGCTGTGATTACGCGTGGCCGCCCGAAGCACACGAGCCGCTGCCGAGAGTCTTCTCAGCCGTTTTCATTCGGTCACTGACTACAGAAACAAACATTCATGGGGCGCCGCGTTGTGCACTTCCGTGGCGTCGACGTGTTTCGAAAGCCTGCGGGTACGAGTCAGCGCAGTCTCCTTACTAACTAAAGCTACTTGTGATGTATTTATTTATTCATGTGCTCTTTTCTCGTTCGGGTGCCGAAGCATTGTGGATGGGAGTGTGGCGAAAGGAACAATACCAAAAAAGAACACATGCGGCAAAATGTGTACAAACGCTACGGATACACTATACGCAAGTATGTAGTCAATATAAACGACGCCTGCTAGAAAGAAAAAAAGTAAATTGAAAGAAATCGAAAGTAGGAACGCTCATAAAAAGTTGTCACAAAAAAGAAAAGAAGAAAAAAAAAAGTTTTGATTCAAAATCGTTTGCTTGTTGTCCAGTTTGGTTACTTCCGCCTGAGGGTCGAATAACTCGTTCTCATTTTCTTCGTCGGTTTACTTAAACGACGGTGGTATGCCATCAGACTCCAAAGACAACTTGTGTTTTTTCCAGGTAACCATAACGTAATATCCGACAGCCATACTAGTGGAGCGACTCGATACGTTAAAGGCCCGGCTGCTGAGCTGCATGAACAATTTGTTTGCGACAGCACTTTTTCAAAACACATAATTCTGAAGCCATTCGCTTGTGCATATGAAATTCGAACGCTGCGTAGAACTCTTGAGACCAGGTATAGACTATGTGCGTGCCTCCTAGTTCTTTACCCCCCCCCCCCTCCCCTTTTTTCTGCACCCAAACCGACGATGGCCTTACAAGGACCTCGATCAGCCATGTCAACCAATCCTTGTTTTTCTTTACCCTGCTGCTTTTTATCGTCCCACGATGCTGCAGAACGCCTTTTTCGTGTTGTTCAGTAAACTGTGACGTGAAACAACTCGACAAAGGAAGGCAGAACAATACCTCCTTTCAAGGTTATTGTAAGCGAAAGTGAAGAGTGGTTTTGTTGTAGTTGACAACTGGGGTGAAAAACAAGAATGCGTATTCTTCCCCCACAATGTGCGAAGAAGCAAAAACGATAGCTGTAGCGCGGTCGCGCAGAGCGGGTGGAATGGTGCCGGTCACGTACCTGAAGACGGAGTTACGACGTGGTTAATTCTCATAGCCGTCGTGGTTGACGTCGCGTATATTACGGACGATCGCCACCGGAGCTCGGTGATCCGTGAAGTAAGTGTGTACGCGCGGTAGAAGTTTCTAAAACCATCCAACATCACGCGTAGCAACTAGATACTGTCAAAGTGGGATTCCGGATAACGCGAGTAATGTTTGAAAACAAGTCTTTCAAGCAGACGACACGGAACACTCTCCTTTCGTCGTGCCGTTACTGGCGGGATGCCGGGGCGGCCGACGGTACATCCCGACTTCCCTGGCCTTGCGCCAAAAGCGGTGAGAAGGGTTTTTGCATTGCGGCGACGACAGGAGACGAGGTCAAAATCTTTTCAAAGTGTCGTCCGTGAAGATACATCGCTTTAAAAAGAAAAAAAGTGGAGTGGAGTGGAGAGCAAATTCGAACACTTCGCATTTTCCCTGATCTTGGATCATAGTTCGTTCATTCGTTTTCTCACGAGGCAGCAATTCTGGTAGAATCTGCTCTCTTCGGAGCTTATCGTCAGAGGTGACGCGAAATGCTTGTGACGCGTGTATGCGTGCCGACGTGGCGGCGGAGGCGGCGGCTTGGAACACCCCCGGCCATGAAGCCTCATTAGTAGCGTTCCCATCACCACCGGCCGAGGAGGAGCGGAGTGCGGCTCAGCGGCCGGATTACCAGCTTGCCTGGGGAGGAGCACCGCGTGTTACAACTTCGTAGGGAGAATGGCCGGAGAGTATCACGTGACGCTCCTTCCTCGGCAAGTGGCAGCGTCGCCCAAGAAGCAAATGCATCGCTGGACCAAGCGCTTTCGATAGCCAACAAGGCGGTTTCTTGCTTCTAACGCACTCACTGTGCGTGTGTCTACATGTGTGTGTTCGTGTGCACGTGTGTGTGCTTTCGTGCGTTTGTGTGTGTGCTTTTGAGCGTGTGTGTGCATCTTCTGAGCAGCAAGAAAAAGAAAGAGTGGCGGAAGATGTTCGAGCCACTTTATTGTTGCTCTGACTGAGGGACTCCTGGTGCGCCCTACGCCAACGATACGCCCAAAGCCATAGTGGTCTGAACGGCGCCGCCGCCCCTTTTCAGAACGCATGTGTCGAAGGTTTGCTTCCATTTCCGACAAATTCCGCGAGATGGCGCAGCGTGACAGGAGCTCGAGGAACCATCTTTGTTCGAGCACACGTTTTCAAGGCCGCGAGGCGCGGCGAAGGCCGCATCTACGCGCCGACCCCCAACCCGACAATGCACCGCCGGGAGATGTAGATGCGCGAAGCCCGATTGGAATTTCGTCCCCCTTTCTGGCCTTGATCCGACACCTCCCTCTTCTTCCACCTTGGTCGAAAGTTTAGAAATGTACAATGGGGACCCACTGACCAGAAGCTAGTTAGTGGGTCAGCGAATGTCACATAAGCTATAAGGGCACGCAAATTGCACTAGGCTCTAGCTCGGTTAATTTAAATTTGTACACGCCAACAATCAGAGTAAGATAAAGAAGAAAAAAAAACGCACGAAAGTAACTGGCATGAATTATACTTCTAGGTTCACTCATCTGACATGTTTGATGTCCAATATTATTAGCGTATAGCTAACTCCGATGGCCCAGCTCTGGCTTATGTAAAACAAGATAAAGATAATTAGACGTGAGTTCGACGGCGTGAGGTGTGTCTATCAATAAAGTGCTTCTAAGTTCTTGTTTCTTTTTTTTTTATGCGTGTTGCTTTGAGTGAAGTTCCTTGATCCTCAAGAAAATGGGCACTTCGCTTAGTGTAATGGCAGTGAAAAACTTTTTGCACTAGAAAAGAAAACAAACGCGCACAAATAAAAACCAATAAAAAAGTGATGTGGTAAGGGACGCTGGTTTTAAGCAACGTAAATATATGTTCGGGCGTAAACAGATCAGCCACACTTTCTTTGGCTTTTCTGTCGCCCAGTGACGCCTGCAAACGTCGCGAGGGGCGGTCCGGCATCTTGTTAACTACGCCTCATTTAGCAATTACGTTATCGCGACGGACAGCGTTGTCAGCTCAGGCCGAAGCAAGATCTTGGCAAACTCCTCTTTGCGGAGAACGCTTCGTTCTAAACCAACATAAAGATGCGGCGTCGGAAAGACGCTCAGGATTTCCCCCCGCGGGCGCATCGACAGATCCTCGAGGACGGCCTGTTTTACTGGCATCCATTGCGCTAATGAAACCCAAGTCTTTTTTTTTTTTTCTTCAATTTTTGTTTTACTCGTCATTCTAGATTTCCTTACGACTTAGCGGTGCCGTACGAAGGCCTTCAATCTTGGACGATATCGTTAAACAACTTTGCGCTGCTCCAACTTCCCTAACCTGCCTTCTGGGAACATTCAAGAACACTAATCTGGAGACCCGGGGGTCGGATCTGCATAGAATAGGTTCATAATGTATCTTTTTTATATCCATCTTCTTATAAGTACGAATATATTTATTTTGTAGGCGAAAGTCTCTGCATAATTTCCGTGACGCACGCCAGAAATTATAAATCGTAATCAGGCATACTTTACGACATCTACTGTAAATATTACTGGATCATGCGTCATTGATGCATGATCCAGCTTAACCGGCCTAAATTTAACCACAAAACCTCGTGTATGTGAGCGAAAAAAAATGGGGGGGGGGGGGGGAGGCTAAATGGTAAATTTAAGTGATACTTAGCAGTGTAGTTTTAAAAGTAGGTCTGCGAACGAAAATGATCAATAATAAGAGGAAAGCTGTCCAGTGGCATTAATGTTAAAATGCGCACCTTCACGGATCCGAATATAAACATTTTGATGATATTCTCAGTGTTTTACTTTATCCGCGTGATCCCCCATCACAAACGTAAATAGTGCCCATTTCTAAAGGGATAGTAGCATCCATCTGCGACTTTATTGATCTCGTTGTTACACAGACTTCGTTAACCTGACTGAACCTTGATGGCATTTTATAAAGAAAAATCATTCGTAATTGTTCATAAGTGATACTGCCACATCAAACTACGCTTCCTTTCAAAATGACGCTGTAAAAACTATGGTGTGCACATATTTGGCATTTAATACCGGCTATTGTCTTCTACACCATGTTTTGTGCATGTAGTGTTTTTTTTTTCCTGCATTCGTGTTCATATTGTGCAGCGTCACTCTAGGAGAGAGATTGAAGAAAAAGTCATAATGTCGGTGGAGAGTGTTGCTTCATGTTCAATTTTCATTTCATCTTACAGGAGTAGGCAGAGCTCCTTGATTTGTCTGTCTACTTTCACATGCGAAATTATTTCCATTCCGTGTTCAGAACACCACAGTACTCTAGTATTTTTTCTTCTTTTATTCGAAAGAAACTTGTCATGAGCAAACTATTCTATTCTTATTGCTTCCAAACGTTCTACTTGCAGGTAAAGAGAAGACGAAAGTCTACGCTGTTAGAGCAATATTGGCA